AGGCTGGTGTGCTTCTTCATGTGGGCTTTGTTGCTTCTGAGCTAGATGGTTGCTTGTTTACTTTCAAGCCTTTTAAGACCCCAGACGCTATGTCTTTTGATAGCCAGGCACCATCAGCTTTCTTCACCACATTTGCTTATTTAACCGCTTTGTCTTTAGTGGTTGTGTAGGGAAGGTGAGCATCATAGAATGCCAATTTAATAGAACAAAGTGTTCTCGCATTGAGGGAGTACTTGAGTGGAGGCCCAATGTCCTTCTGCTACTTTAATCCTAAACCTATAAATAAATGCACGTAGATCTATCTTCCCATTCTCATATATAAATATATTTGCATATGTACATGTCTTTATCTAGACCTCTATAAATTGGGCTCATTCTCATCTTTAACTCGGGACAATGGGTTGAGAAAGGAAGGAAAAAAAAAATCTATGGGGGTGAGAAGGTTGAAAAGAAAAGAGGAAACGGGGTCAAGAAGTTGAACAGGTGACAGACGTCTGACTTGTGGCAGAACTAGATCTGTACAGGGAGAGTTCAAGCAGGGGAGCATAGCTCGCACAGAGGACCCCGATGTTGGGTCTGTGCAGTGCTTTCCTACCCCACGGAACTCGTTCCTCCCTTCACTGCCCTTCCTCGACACCACTGTTACCCCGGCGGCTTCTGAACCCTGGCCATGGAGTCCAGAGTGAGCTCGTAGGACAGGGTAGAAGTGCCCTGTGGGTGTCTGAGACGGCACATGTTTTCTCCCGCAGAACAGCTGGTGTGGTCAAACTGCTGATTTCTTGGCTCGCAGCCCAGGGCAGGACGCATTGCTTTGACACCCCGCACTACTTCCTCAGGCCAACCACAGCAGAAGGGGCCTCCTTCCTGCAGCTCTCTAGTTAGTGAATGGCACCCCCAGACTTAAGCTGGAACATACCAGTGCTTCTCACATTTACATGCATCGATGTTCTTAATACAGTACAGATTTTGAGACCGTCCATCTGGTGTGGAGCCTGAAATCTGCATATCTCACAAGCTCCCAGGTGATAACCAACACAGCAGCAATAATAGCAAGGCTATATAAACTTAGTATTTTTAAGAGCTGTTTATAACTTACTCTTTGTTGGAAATGGTGTTTACTACTTGGATTTTTTTCTTTTATTTCCAGTTTCATGAGCAAAGACACCAAACCATAGAGACGTGAAGTTGTTTGTGCACTCTCCATTCATTAATCACGACAAAGCAGTGCCTAGAACCCAGGCTCGCTCACTCCCAGTTTGTTTTATCATTATTGCTTTTTATTTTTAAAATCAGTCCCTTGGGGGCTTGTCCAGTTCTTATCCCAATCCATACACACATCCATCGTGTCAAGCACATGTGGACATTTGTTGCCCTCATCCTCAAAACATTTGCTTTCTACTTGAGCCCTTAATATCAGCTCCTCATTTTTCCCTCTCTCTTCCCACACTCCCTTCCCTCATGAACCCTTGATAATTTATAAATTATTATTATTTTTTCATATACTGTCCGACGTCTCCCTTCACCCACTTTTCTGTTGTCCATCCCCCAGGGAGGAGGTTATATGTAGATCCCTGTAATCGGTTCCCCTTTTCTATCCGACCTTCCCTCCACCCTCCAGGTATCGCCACTCTCAGCACTGGTCCTGAAGGGTTCATCTGTCCTGGATTCCTTGTTAATTATTGCTTTTTTTCTTCTGTTGCCTCATCTTGCCAATTCTGTCCAGGAGTCCCTTTACTGCCTCCATCCCTACTCCATAGCCTGGCCTCCCCAACTCATCTTGGAGCTGCTTTTAACTCCCTAACCCTCCAGCAATAGCCTGGAGAACTTTCCTTTGTAAATCTTTGTTTCCAACATTTTATTTGTCATCATTTCACTTTTACATATAGGAATTTTGATATCAAGCTGTATTAACTTAAAAATATTTGTGAAAAATCATTTGACTTTGGCCTTTGTACCTGAGTTTTCTAGTCCTTGGAGGCTTTTGTACTATTAACAGGAGGCTGCAGGGGTTGGGCTTTGTCAGAACATGCATATTACAATATCTCAGGACTCAGTTGCATGCTGCACACCTTCTGTTGGCTTCTCCAGCTCTGCTCTCCACCACATCTCCCATTCTGTACCCTGAACAAGAGTGGGGTCTCTGATACTGGCTTCTAGTTCGATTTTTCCAAAGGGGCTGAGAGATGGAAGGAGGGGAGAAGTGGGGTTGGCACTTATTTCCCTAGTCCCTGATTGGCTTCTTCCCTTGAAGGTCACAGCATTGGCACAGCAGCTTTTTCCAACAGTGCTTACTAGATCCTAGGAATGATTTCTTTCTCTTGATCCTTCAGTCCTAAGGATCGACTGCACCATCTCTTGTGTTATTCCCACGCACACCTCTATAAATTGCTGTTTATTGAGATTACCTCAGTTTGACTTTGCTGTTTTACAGCAATTGACTGGTAGATTGCCTCTTGGATTGCATTAAGACTGATTAGAAATCATTTCTGTGAAGGCATCCAGCCTTTACTTAACATTTGTTGTGGTAACCCAATGGTTTTTAAATACTTTGATTCCCCCTGTTGGCCATTTGCCATTCCTTCTCTTGTTCTTCATTGTAGTTCGGTGGGATATAACTGCTTATAACGCTGTATTAGTTTGGGTGGACTAGAGAAATAAATTCATAGACACTCATGTCTATAAGAAAGAGGTTTATCTACAAGAGCACTTGAATATTGAGAAAATGTCCCAGTCCAGATCAAGTTCCTAAGTCCAATTTAGCCCATATATCTGATACCAATCTATGAAGTCCTCTTCAGACTCACGAAATACATGCAATGGTGCCGAATGCAGGAGGATCACAAGCCAGTGGGTTGGATGTCTTGTGGATCCAGTGGCGTTGTAAGCATCTCAGTGCCAGCAGGGGTCTCTTCGTGGCTTCTCTGGCTCCAGAGATCTGGTTGCATCAGGGTACGTACATCCATGTGACTTCTGCAGTTCCCAGGGCATGGGGTCTATCAGCGTAGTGCCATGGTCTTGTCAGTACAGTGTCTCTCAGGGAGTGAGCAGAGAGAGAGAGAGAGAGTCTGTTTCCCACCTCACAGGAGGAAATTCAGGAGTTCCCAGAATACTCAAGGGAAGGCCATGCCCACCCGGAGGCCTCATTGGCTATACCCCGATTGACAGACTAGACTCCACTCTATTCAGTCATAATCCTCTCAAATTGACAAAGGATTATATAACTACCACAAACACCATCCCATTTTTGGCCTCAGTACTATACAAAGTAAATCTGATCACTCCCATAACAGAGCTATTCAGATGTCCACCGCCATTCTTTTTTCAGGTCAGCGACCCAGTTCCTTTGTCATGTCTCATAGGACATAACGAAGAAGCAAATAAAGCAAAAGCCTGGGCTTTTACAATCCTGAAATGTGTTTCTGATTCTCTTAAACTGTTGTGACTGGTATGAAGTCTGATGATTACGCCTGTTGATTTAGACATTGAACTCTGGGTATGTTAGCTTGAAGTGGCTCTTCCTTTTTTTTAAAGCCACCATGTTTGGCTTTTGGCTCAGCGCTGCTTTGTATCCTGTTACTGGAAATCCTATGTTGTTTTCCTCTCTTCTTAGAGTTTGGTTTTTGAACATTTTCATAACTTTGCCTTGTAGTTTCAGCCTGTCCATCCATTTGCAGTTTTCTAATGTTCTCTCTCAACTCTCTGTAAATCAAATGAGCCTTCCTTCCCTGTTGTTAGAGCAAACCAGTGACACAGACGTCTAGAACAGGGGTTGACAAACGAGCTCGAGCGCCGTCTGCCTTGCTCCGTACATTCATACATGTGGGTCTGGAGTAAACTTGGAAACATTTAAAGGATGTTATTTAGATAATGGTGGTTTCAGCTGTTTGTAAAAATATATTTATGGCTCTCAAGTAAATTTTAATTTATTGGGAGGGACAGGATTGACTCTTCCGGCTCAAGTTGGCCGACCCCTGGTGTAGAGGATAGGGTGCAATGCAAGGAGCTGAACAACCTCCCCAGGGGCTGCCGTGAATCTAGTGAAGCTTCTGTTTTCCCATCCAATCCACATTCCTCCCCTGCCAACCCACAGTACTTTCTGAGTGACTATCTGATACGGTGATAACATGGAGGAGATATGGATCCCTGTGAACCCTTCCCCCAGCCTCCACGTCCAGTAGTCCCTCAGGCTCCAAATAGTACTGAGGGCTGCCAGCACGCACAGCTTGTTCTTTGTGAGCCCGAGCTGCCATGGAGGAGTGATTTCTTTCTTTTTCTTTTTATGATCTTTTTACTTTTAATTAAAAAAAATCATGCTCACAGCACATTCGCAAGAATGCCACGCAGCGATGGTTTGTGGCTCTTTATCAAACAGTGTTATAAAACAAAACAAAATGTTTAAATGGTGAAGCATTTTAAAATTAGTCCTCTGAAATTTCTGTCAGTAACCACCAGCCACATGACCTTTGTTTCAGAATAGTAAAAGGGTCGCAGTGAGTGCCGGTGCCCATCGTCCTTCATCTGAAATGCAGTCAAGAAGTATACAGCAGAAGCAAAAATAAAAACTTTCCTGTGAAGGACCTATTTGGCCATGAAAAATGTTAACACGTGTAGTTTCCTTGTCTGACAGGAAGTCTGGGGCTTCGGTAGCAGTCTTTCTCCCGAGCTGCAATCAACTGGGTGGCGGTGCCCGGCTCCTGTGTCCGTTCCTTTCCTAAGTCAGGACTTCGATTGTGATTACTGCCTGCGTTGCTGGTCTTTAGTTTTCAGGACCCTTCTCTTTTCTGAATAACAGTATTGAAAGCTTTAAAATAAGTCTGAAAACCTTTCCCCTGCCCTTCTCCTTATGTAGTTTTGAAAAATTAGTGATAGGTCTAACGTAGGCACACTTTCCCAGTACCTTGGCATGTAATGTACTCGCTGCTGGCATGGTGATTCCTGCTCAGGACCACCGCATGCGTTCTAGAGTTGAACTGAACTCTATTAGATTTTCTTGGTGGGATTTTTATGGAAGTAGTTCAGGGGTGGGTTTGAACTCCTAACCTTCTGGTGAATAGTGAAGGACAAGCCATTTGTGCCAACTCGGGGTGCTACGACAGGTGGTTCTTTTGCCGGCTCCTGACCTGTTTTGGACTTGAGTCTCTCTTCACGTGTTGCTTCTGTCCTTTGTGTAGAGACTACTGTCTCTGGTGGAGAGGATAGAAATCCTGTGGGACTTGATGACCTCCATTTACTTCTCCTTACGTGTTTCATCTTTACTTTCCCTGTTGCCTTTTCATGATTACTTATACCTTCCTTTGACTTTCCTGGTGAACACACATTCTTTCTGTCTTTCACACGTGACCATTTTAATCCAGATCTCAGGAAAGTTCTGTCTACTGCCTGGTACTTTTCTCTGGTTGTCACTTTATTTTTCCCCCTGAAGGGAGCTTGTGTGATAGCTGATTTTCTTTTTAAAGAAAATCCCACTATTTTCCTTGAGTTTCTTTCCCAAGAAGGATCCTGATTTTCTTAAAACAATTTTCCCAAGAGCTAAGTATATAACCTCTTTCATCTACCACTCCCCAATTTTGTTGCTATGGACTGCAACAAGACTGACCTTTCACTTGGCCAGTGGAGGCTGGGCCAGAAGCTTTGTTTTAGATTTTCTTTATGCTAAGATGTAATGTTTCTAGCTAGTTGACAAAGGAAAGACAGAATCAGTGCTTTTTTGTATTCATCGGGCTGTTAACAATAAGGTCAGCTGTTCGAAACCACCAGCCATTGGGGGAAAAAGAAGGCTTTCTATTCCCGTAAAGATTTACAGTCTGGGAAACCCACAGGAGCAGCTCTACCCTGTCATACAGGGTCATTATGAATCAGAAGCAACTGAGCAGTGAGAGTCCTAAGAAGTATATGTTTTACAATTGACCGTCTTAGCTGAGAGCCTGTATTCTCCTTGTGAGGGATGACTGCTTTATTAAATGCGCTGGATTTTAACAAGTTAAACAAAGCTGGGCTGTGCCCGTGCTCAGTTGGGTTCACTTGGAGACACAGTCGCAATTCTGCGTGACCTTTCCAGTGGAACTTGAGAACTTTCCCGAGCAGATACCTTGGTAGCTTTGCTCCATCTCCCTGTGAGTAAAGCAACACTGCCATTAGTCCTAGTTCTTGTCCCAGCTGCAGGCTGCCTTTTCTGGGCCTTGGTTTACCTGCTGAGACAACATGGAGATGGAGGGTATTCACAGCATTAAGATGATCAGGGTGAAACGCATTAGTTCATTAAAGAAAATAAGAGTCTGTTCAGCAAATGTAGATTAACTGCTCATTCTGTGCCAGCCATGGTTCCAGCAATAAGTCATACAAAAACCTTGTTCACTGAAATGGTATATTTTTCACTGTTAGACAAACCAAAATGAGCAGGGAATTACAGGAATTTCCTGTCTCCTTCGAGGAAATTTAAAATGTTCTTTTGCAGAGGACCGAACTGGATATTGATCAAATGTTCAACGGTTTAATTCATTTCTTTGTAGGACCTGTTCACTGTTCAAGGAATACACTTAATGGAGATTTGGCATCAGCAGCCATTCCTGAAGAACACAAATTTATGGCCAAAAAAAAATCTGACTCGGAAGACGCTCTCCCATTCTTCTCTTCCTGAGGAAACTAAAGTGTGCGCCTTCCTCCGAGTATTGCTATGCAGAAGCTGCTGTGCTCCAACTATTGTTCTCGGGGTAGCGCTTCCCTTTACTTAGGAGTTCTCTGCACTTTATAGATTATTGAGGGAAAAAAAGTAAAAAAGACAACAACCCACATACTTTGAAAGTGTATTTTATCTTTATATAGTTTATTTGCAAGAGTATTTTCCTAATAACTTCACAGTATGAATGTGCGTCCTCTTTTTTTGTTTTAAATAAATGATGATGTAACATTTTGACATCCATAAGGACAAATGTAGATATTTTTCTAAAAAACAAAACAAAACAAAGCAAAAAAACTGCGAGGGACTGCGCTCAGTCTGTGCGTTGTAGCGGATAACCATGGACTCCTAGACGGTCTCTGTTGGAGAGAAGAATGAGCTACGTCACTTGTGCCATGGGCCAAGTGGTCACTTTATCCAGCTGAAAACGAGTTAAGACCCAAGCTTGATGGCGATTGTATTGTGTTCCTTTAAGCAAAAAGGAAACACTTACCGTTCTAAATATTTTTAGTCCAAATATTATGACACAATGAGGATTTTTTTAAAAAACCAGACTGTTGTCCTTCACACGTGAAGTTGACACTACTGATTTATCAGGACCAAATGTTGGATTACAGTATTTGATGTCTATTTATTTATTCTTCTGTCACACCAGGAAAACAAATTCTACCCTTTGTGACCTACCAAATTTAAGATGCTGCACACGTTATTGTCAGTGTTCTAGAAAAGAAGCTGAATGTCAAAGTGACCTTGCTCCCTCACACCAGAGAAATAACCGACTTTCAGCGGACGAGGATTTTAGTGCTTCTTGTTTTTCTCAAATGGACCTTAAGCTGCTCTTGTAAAGACTTAATGTTTGCAGCTCTTACCTGGAGAAATTTTTTATTTATGGCTATTTATATAAAAGATTAATTTTGTCAAGATTCCTTTAGAAATGGTATTATGTAATTAAAGAAAAAATGACAAATTTTGCTTAGTGCCTGCCCATGCCTGTTGTCAGTGTTTGTTTGCTTTGTAAATTTAAAAATTCACTTTTTGGATGACGGTTTCGCTTAAGGTCTTGGATGAGAAGCACTTTAAAACAAACTGGTTTGGTGTTTTTAAGTTAATCAGATGTTTAATAAATGTGGTTTTTTTGCATTCAAAATAATCCTGAAAGACATTGTACTTCTTATATTTGTTGTGTCACTCTAGTTTTTATCAAATGCTAAGAGTATTCTTTATTGCTTTGATTTCATGTATATTTGACTTCATGGTGAAGACACAAATGAGGCTGGCTTTCTGGTTTTCCATGAGTTTAGCGTGGTATTGCCTATTGCACTTTAAAAGTCTCCTGTATGTTTATGTGTGTATTTTTTCTCCTGCAAGAGTTAAAACTATTTGGTATTCACTTTTCTAAAATCTGTAATTACAGACTTCTTCATTTTAAAACAGACATAAGCAATCTGTAAACAATCACTACCTGTGGATATGCAGTTAGATAAACTGTGTGCCACTTAAAATGTTTGCAGGTAGCACACAGTTATGAGACTGCTCTATATTAAATAGCGGACTCTCTGCTCCTGTGCTGTTTAATTCACCTGGGTGGGGTTTGGGAGTCTGATACTGCAGTAAGTTTCCATGTTGACCTGTTGAACAGGTTTTCCTCTCTTTTGCAAGAAAGTGCAAGAATGATGACCAGGAACATCAAGGTGCTACTGATAGGGAGCTTTTCTAGTAGATAGTGTTTTGTTTTGTTTTGAATTGATAGGTTTATAATGAAAACACTTTAACTAGTTTTTGAATGATCTGAAAATAAGCTCATTTCTATTGCTTTACACAAATAGATGAGTTCATAAATTGTTTCATGTAATTATTTAAAAAAGTAAATCCAACTATTTCTGATTTAGTTTTTTCTCCTTGAAATAGGTGCTTCCGAGAGAGAATTGCTCTATACCTAAATACGATTTTCATTGTCACTTGAAGACACTGGTTTTCCCTTAGGAACCAGATCCATTTGTGAAACTTACTATTTGAAGGCGCGAAAGACACATCCCAATGGGTCTTGACTTATAGCTGGGCTTTGAAGAGTGACAGGCACCATGAAGCAGCCTGTCAAGCTTACGGGCATCTTGCTTTTTGAGGAGCCGTGTGTGTTGAGCGTGCCCGACTTCTCCAAAGTTTAAGATGATGAACCAGATGACAACCCTGCAAGAATGTTGGGCCACTTAAGGCCTCACTGAAATTTGGCAGGTTTTTCTATAATTTTTTGCTTTGTCTCGACCATGAAATTGTTGAGACATTTGGGGATTCTCTTGGTGTATCCACCCACGGTCTTATAAGCAAAGCCAGTGCCCATTCACCTTTCATTTCAAGGGCTGGCCCTGTCTTTTATTTCAAGGAGAATTATATGGCTAAAGGGATCTTGATAAGAATTATTTTGTAAATAGACTAGATTTTATATTTTTACACTGTATTGGATTATGGTGTTATCTTTAATGACAAGTTCAGAAATGGATGCCATTGCTTAAACTTAAAATTCCAAGGCGAAAGATAAAGTATCTTCTGTATCTGTCATGTGACCTTCCACTGCAGTTTTTTTACTATGCATTATCATATTTAGTGTTTAACAGGTCATCACATGGCCTCAGGATATGTATCCCTGTAATTTGTTAACATTATATGGCTCTTTAATCTGTTACCAAATACAGTATGATATCTTTAATCTGAGCTGTACCTGTTCTTTACTTTTTTAAATGTAATGAGGTAACTGAGTCTGCCCTTAATGGCCTTGCTGTTGCCTCCTGGTGTAGACGGAGAGTCCTGGCCTGAAACAAAGCAAGATTAGGCCACAGGAGCTCCTGATGGGTAGTGGGTACGCCGCTGGGCTGCTTGCTGCAGTCAGCAGTGTGAAATCGCCAGCAGCTTCGTGGAACAAAGATGGGGTTTTCTACTCCCATGAAGAGTTACGTTTTGGCCTTGGAAGCTCAAAGGGGCATAGGGGCAGTTCAACCATGTCCTTCCTACGTGGAGACCGAGTCAGCTTCGACTCGGTGGCCGTGAGTCTAGAGTTTGGTTGTTGGGTAAATCAGAGCCCCGGTGGTACAGTGGGTTAAGTACTGGACAGCTAACCACAAGGTGTTTCTAATTTGCTAATTAGAATAAATCAATTGGGAGAAAGATAAGACTGCTCCCTTAAAGATTTACAGTCTTGGAAACCTTATCGAAGGTCACTATGAGTTAAAATGGACTTGATAGCAGTGGGTTTGGGTTTGGGGGTTAAGCAAGGAGCAGTAGTGGTACAGCGCTAAAGCACTTGGCTTAGATTCAACTCACCTTCTGCTCTGGGGGAAGATGTGGCCAATAGTTTCCTTAAACATCATGTCCTGGAAACCCCATGGAGCAAGTCTGCCCTGCCCTACAGGGTTGCTGTGAATTGAAATGAACTCAGTAGCAAGGTGTTCATTAAAATGTTTAAAGGTCTTTTCCTTTAGTCCTTTTTTAATAACACCCTGTCTTTATAGATTCTATGTTCCCATATTTCCTTAAGCATAGTTAAAAGTGTTTTCCCCCCATTTAATTCTGTATCTTCCATGATCCTAGTTTCTGCTTGTTTTGATACTGTCTCTAATGAAGACATTCTTAAAAAGTTGGACAGATTATCCATTCATCTTGGTGTACTTAATTTGGTACTAATAAGCTAATTTAATAAAACCTTGTGTGTGAGCCAGGTTTGTCAATGATCTGAAGGGCCATTGGACAGAGCTGGTTTTTATTGGGCCGAGCAGGGGTGGGGGTGTGGTCTTCAGTATATGCGTGGAGGTCATTTGCCTGGAGCCATTGCATCACTCCAGAAGTGACTTAGGTTTGGACAGCATGTTGTGTGTAGAGAGCTGAGGAAACTACAGTTGGTGTGATGGCTTTGATTAAACTCCCGATTTTCTGCCTCCCCCTCCCCTTATCCAGCTGGTTCTTTTCCATGGCCCGGGGACCTGAAGTTGTTTCTCCTGTGGATGAGGTGTGGGTCGATGAGTGCCCTGGCTGCGGAGGGCTGGGAGAGGACCCAGGTTCAATTCGATGCCCAGCCTTACTTTTAGCTATACCCCTCGCTCCCATTTTTCACACCTGGTACTTCCAAGTCCCAAACGTGTTAAGGGTTCGTAGGTGGGTACATTACTTGGCTTCTCTCTTCCTCGCATCGAAGCTTTAACTTCCTTTACTCTCCTATAATACTGTTCTGTCTTCAACCTTTTGTCTTTCTAAAATCTGTTGCAATCCCATGACTGTAATTTTTCATATACCATTCAAACTCCACTGCTATTGTAATGAAGTTTTAGATACGGAAATGTGTTAGTCTGGGTTGACTAGAGAAATCCAGAGAGACACTCATGTATAAGAAAGAGGTTTATATATAAGAGCAATTGAATATTGGGAAAACATCCCAGCCCAGTCCGGATCAAGTCCATAAGTCTGATATTAGCCCATATGTCTGATACCAACATATAAATTCCTCTTCAGACTCATGAAACATATGCAAATGATGTCGAATGCAGGAAGATCACAGGCCAGTGGGTGGAAATTCTTATAGGTCCAGCGGTGGTACAAGCATCTCTGGCAGGGGTGCTGGCAGGGGTCCCTCCTTGGCTCTTCTAGCTCAGGGCACCAGCGTAGATCTGTTAGGTAGGCCAGCATAGGGCTGGGAGATGTCCATTAACATGTGCCCAGAGGGCCAAGCTAGGGGAACAAAGGAGTGGCACAGCGCACATGCTCAGGGTTCCCGCCAGTAGGCAAGGGTGGGCGTGAACTTGAATTGGATCACCTAGCCAGGTAAATTCAATTCAGCCAATGGGGTCGATCAGGGGTCTTCCACCACGCCTCCCTGTGGAATCCTTGAAAAGGCAGAAGCCCGGAGGGGAGGAGATCTTAGAGAGAAGGACAAGAACCGAGACGGGAGGAGAACAGAGACGGAGGGGAGAGAACTCCGGCGTAGAGAGCTTTGGCACGCGTTGCGGGACGCAGAGCCGCTTCCAGCTAAGCCGAGTGTCCGGGAGGAGCCCCTTGGGTGCCGTGTAAACCTGAAACTTCTTCTAACGCTCATAAACTCACTTCGATCACGAACCAGGCTTCGGCGTGAATTCTTTCTCGCGCGGAGCCAAGGACCGAGGTATAAATCTAGCTCCAGAGAGATCTAACAGATCCATGTATCTTGTCAGCTGCAATGTCTCCCAGGGAGTCAGCATGTGTCTCACCTCCTAAGAGCTGTTTATCTCCTTAGCACCTCCAAATGAGGTCATCAAGCTGTGGCCTGATTGGCAGGGTAAACACCCCTTCATCCCTTGTAAGTCTCATATTGATAACATTATGTAACTAGCACAGGAAGAAATAGATGCATGTGGTTAGCCCACCATCTTTAACTGGAAATCTAGATTTAAATTTTAATGGTGTTTAGAGTATAATATCTCTGGCATTATTCTAAAATTCATCATTTCTGCTCCTTGATGATTTCTAGTTAGTGTGATTTAACTGTGCTGCCCACAAGGTCGGTAGTAGGAACACATTTGCTCCACAGGAGAAAGATGACGCATTCTGTTCCCCTAAAGACTCATAGCTTTGTAATGTTTAGCAATTGTTGATGCCAATAATTGTACATGCCCACTTGATGTATGGTTCGCCATATGTAAGAGCACCCAATAAAGTGATTTATTTAATTAAAAAAAAGATTTCACAGCTTTGGAAACCAATGGGTATTTCTACTCCATGATACAGGATTGTTATGAGTCAGCCTCCATGGCAGTGAGGCCTACCTGGTCGGTTGTCATGAGGACGAGAAGAATCATTATCTATACAGCGCTAGTGTTGACAGGTGAGGTCAAGTCAGTCTGACCCTGGGCACAACAGACGCAGTGTGACCCTATGCACAACAGAAGAAGATGATGCCCTTTCCCGTCTCATCCTCAGCACGGCAGCTGTATTTGAACCCACTGTGGCACCACTGTGTCATTCCATCTCCTTGAGGGTCTTCCTCTTTTTCGCTCAGCTGCTTTACCAAGTGTAATGGCCACTTCCAGGAATTGCTTCCTCCTGATCCTGTGTCCAAAGTAGGCCATCTCAGCATTCAAGGAGCATTGTGACTGTACTTCTTCCAAACCAGATGTGTTTGTTTTTCTGACAGTCCATAGTAATTAATCTTCTTTGGTCTTCCTGATTCACTGGTCAGCTTTCACATGCATCTGAGGTGATTGAAAAGACCATGGCTTGGATCAGATGTACCTTAGTCCTCAGAGTGGCATCTTTTTGACCTTTAACTTCTTTTTAAGACAGAAAATGATAGAACTTTATTGGGAGATAAAGATTTAAGATGGAAATCGAGTGAAGGCTATCATATTCATAGTTTATTCAGTTATTGAAAAAACTAAATAGAAGTATGTCCAATTCATACATGGAAATCAATATTTAAAATTATTTATATAAGTTCAATTGTAATAAAAATTTAATGTTTTATTTTGTGGGATTTCTCAAGCTAACTTAAATTTATTTAGAAAGAATAAATTTAATTTAATTTAATTGGGAGTAATAAAAATACTCCCAAAGAAGATGGTGGGAGAGTTTGCTTTACCAAATATTGTCTCATTGTAAGGTCATTGTCATTAAGATAGTGAAATTCTAGCACAGTGGTTCTCAACCTTCCTAATGCCTTGACCCTTTAATACAGTTCCTCATGTTGTGGTGACCCCCCCCCCCAAACCAAAAAATTATTTTCGTTGCTACTTCATAACTGTCATTTTGCTACTGTTATGAATTGTAATGTAAATATCTGATATTCAGGATGTATTTTCATTGTTATAGATTGAATATAATTAAAGCATAATGATTAACCACCAAAACAATATGTAATTATATATTGTGAAATATTTATTTCTAATTACAAATAAATGAAATTTTATCTTGAAGCCTGGTGTAACATGGCTAGCAGTCTTAATATAACAACAGCAAACTACATTGTTATATTTTGCGCAGTTTACATAACAAGCCAACTTCAGTGCAAAGGTTGAGATAGCTTCTTTCTCACCAGATCAGAAATTCTAGGGGCAATCTTTGCAAGAGCACAATGATCATCTTTCACAGCAATTACCCAGTAATTATAATTCATGAAGTGTCCTTTTACTTCCAATACTGCTGCTTTCAGCACAGTAGCTGCTTTTAACAGAGTAGCTGTTCTCTACATGTGTGACTGGCCCACGTCAGTACATTATGGCGCCAACCCTGTTACATACACCTGTATTTGTACAGGGTGTATGTGATGGGGTTGTTCAGACACCATGTTGCCTATATTCATGTTACTTGTAGACCAGCAGCTCTCAACCTGTGGGTCCAGCGACCCTTTCACAGGGGTTGCCTGATTCATAGCAGTAGCAAAATTAGAGTTAGGAAGTAGCAATGAAAATAAATTTATGGTTGGGGGTCACCACAACATGAGGAATTGTGTGAAAGGGTCGTGGCATTTGGAAGGTTGAGAACCACTGTTCTAGACCATTCTTCATTACCCTTCTAGGACATCTAAGCCTCCTTTATGCTAGGATCCACTGACCTACTTGCTAGTCTTCTCATCAGAGACCTGGCTCATGGTCTTCCTCTCCATCCCATTTTCCTCTCCTCCAGAGGACCTCAATGTGTACCTAGCAGTTTGGCTTTCTCATTCCCAGTGAATGTCTCCACTCTTGCCTC